GAGCGAAACGAGAGATCTATAAACACTTTGATGATTTGTTTTTTTTTACCAATAAGCTTCTTCCAATCAAATATTACAAAAGACCTTTATTGTTGAATTTTTATTTAGTTGGATCACCGTGGAGGTGCATTAAATTCCTATGTATAATTCGGAAATCGCCAAATAATAAAAAATTGTTAATTTTCGATCGGAGCAAATTTTCTGGTCGAAATTAAAGTATATAATGCACAGTGTATAATGGTATAAAGTTTTAATGGCTTTTAGTACTAGTAACGGTTTTAAGATGAAATTCGAATGAAAATCATAAATATTACGGCCTTTTAAATCATGTATAAACTAACTTCGCTCAGTATCGCTACCCGCAACGGTTTATCGTTGCTTACACTCGTAAATTTAACGACTTTATGTATCCTAACTGTATACTTTCCCAACTTCCCAACTGCAACGGTGACGCGCCCATCAGTGCAGTGTCAGTTCTTCACTATTTTATTTAAAACTAATGTATATCATTATTTGAGTTCGTGGAGAGTAAATTATTAATATTTTCTTCTTTAAAAAAAAAAAAAACAAAAAAATATAACATAAAATATTCATAATAATAAACAATACGAGTAATATAATGGCATATTAAATTCTACTAAAACTATAATCGGTATTATATACGTCGATTTCATCTAACGTATCAGCATCGTATATTATTTACAATTATTAAAATGTAACATAATATTATTCAAACGCTCGTTATCATTCGGTTTAACGTTAACCAGAATAATTGCTGCGATTTAAACGTTTATACAAACAGAACACTGTCCGCGTGCAATTCACAGCTGTTCTCACTGCAGCCTAACCGAGTTCGGTCACGTTCGTAATATTTTGTTTTCGTACGAAATCGATTTGCCGTCAAAAAAAAAAAAAAAAAAAAAAAAAAAATTTTTTTTTTTTTTTTAACTTATTAAACAGACGAGATAAAAAGAAAAAAAAATGTACCTAAGTCAATCGTTTTAATATAATAAAATATATCATTTCGATATAAAACTATAAAAACGTATCCAGTTGTACGACCAAAACCGTAGACTGCAATCGTCGCTGCAGATTCACAGCTCAGCGAGATATATTGATTGTAGTCGTTTATGTGTTGATTATACAATACCCGATCCTTTATAGATTTTGATCAACTCAAATCTATAAAACGCCATTATTAGTCCATTGCGTCTGTTTTTGTTTACAATTTAGATTTATGCAGAGAAGGATACGATTTATATTAGAACAATAAATACGTTATGCCGTTATATTTGACACATTTTTAATCGTTTGTAATTAAATCAAATTAAATAAGATTAACACAAAATATTGTTGTGCACTTAGTTTTTTAAGGGGACACTAGTCTAGTTTAAATCAAACCAAAATTATGCATACAATAAGTAACTCGTAAAAATATTAATTTTCGTGCGAAATATAAAAAACACTATATGATCGTTACGGTTTTATTTATTTAAATTTTATCAATTTGAATACTTAATAACGCGGTGGTATAATATTGCTTATCAATGCGTATTTACTTGTCATTATATTATGTGTTATTTCGTATAAAACGAGCATTTTTCGCACACAAATTGTATGAAAAAAACAAGACGCGACGGAAACAAACGGATTTCGGGTTCATCTCTAGGGATCGGATGTTATTATAATACAAACGAAATATACGTATATTTTACGTGCGTTTCGAACCAATACCTATACCATAGATAATATTTTAATTCAGTCGTTTATAGATGCGATGGATGTTGCGTATTATACTATACGTACACGGAACATAAAACGGAGATGTTTTGTCAGTTTTATTAATTAATGCGCGTGAATTATATACTTACTGATACGCATCATACTTACGCATCATGCAAATCGATTTTTAACTAACCGAAGGATATATTCATTAATTTAAACGGTTGTTCTATTAAACGACAGTTTCGAGGGGAACAAAAATCGAAAAACACAAAACTCTCGTAGATGACGACCAATCCCGTCGGCAAGACATTATACGTGTACGCGTCATCTCGAAAAGCAATGCATTTTTCGGAATTCAGTTCGTTTTTCGAACATTTAATTAAAAAATCAATTCTAAAATGTTACGTTGCCGTTATTTTTTGTCACATTTCTATATATTTCGCTTTTAAGTTTGAATATAAGGGAGAGTATTTGTGTGTCAGTGGCGCGGCGTTTGAATAGTACTCGACCACTACTTTCCCCTTGCCAAAACTAAAAATGTGAAATATCTTGTCAACGGGTTGGAGGAAGTTTATACGGTGGTCCTTATATTAAAGATGAGGACAAAAGTTAGACAATTTTGACCTCTCCGTCAATATAATGATTTTGGTGAAATTAGGTGATCTGGGTTCAATCTCTCCATGTGCCGCAAAAGGGTTGACAAATAACTAAAAGACAAAAAACTTTTTTTTTTAATTTAATTAAAAAATTGTTACATTTACAAAGAAATACATACAAGACTTTAAATATACAGAGTGATTGACATAACGTAAGACACTCATTATCACGGAGAGTATTAAGATTTTTGGAATTTTTTTTTTTTTTTAAACATGTAAGAAATAATTAGCTTTAAAATGTTACTATTTTCTTTTCATCATTATTTTAGCGCGTAAACCACTATCTACTTTTGATTTTCAAACGGCAACTTAAATTTAAAATTCCATAAATAGACGGCGTGTTAGTTTAAATTAATTTTGATGTCAACATTTTTTATTCCCGTAAACCCGTTGACGAGATATTCTACTTTTAAGTTTCTTCGCAGAGAGGGGAGTGGTACTTCTACCGCGATGTTTTAATATTATTCTTCCACTATCCTCTACCCCAATTTATAGATATCAGCCCTCCCCTCCCCCCCAAAAGAGGTCTAGAGGGATCCGGTACTTTTAAATTTTTTTTCGCATTAACTTGTTATACGCATTGTTATACTTGTTCACAATGCAAAATATCAAGCACGAAACATGCCACATTATTAATATTCGTTGTCTCGTATTTATTAGATCAATGTTAAATATTAATCAAACCTATAGTGATATATTAGTTATGGTTTTTTCTCGATATTTTCAATACATATTCATATCGCCTACATTTCTTTTTCCCGCACCCCCAAAAGAAACGTCCTAGTTAAACGCCACTGAGCGATTCAAATTCGTTTTCGGAATTCGTATCGCTCCAATCACTATATACACTGCAGTCTATAGGGTGTAACAGGACTATTAAACATATTCATATTGTAATCACGGGCCCACGACATTAATTAGAGGTCTTCAATCGGGGCTCAAGCCATTATTTTTCAGTGGACAGACAGTTGAATAAAAAACAGGAGATACTCATCAAGTAACACGAGTGGATGGACAGATTTATTTACCTTTTTTTTTATTTTTTCTCCAAACTGTGTAAAATGGGCATACACTTGGATTTTGCACTTGGCCGGGGCCGGTGTTAGAAATTATTTTTGAGAGAAGAGGGGGGGGGGGGTGTATACATACAATTTTTTTTTTTATTCGCTTTATTGCAGGCCTTTTCGTTATGATGCTAAATTTTCAAGATATTTCGGACGAAAATTCAGCGTAGATTTTTTTTTTTTTTTGATGTGACAGTTTCGTTTTGGGCACTGCAGTAGCGCTCTCTATGCTCAGTGAGACATTTTTTCACAGTTATTGGGAGTTCTATAGTTATGCCTCCGATCGTAATCGTATAGTTACACGTAAAATATGTCAAATAGTCCTGTTGCACACCCTGTAGATCAGTTGCTCCCAATTTCTGTTATTTTACGCACCCTTTATTGTTTTATAAAAATCTCTTACCCTCTCTTCTTTTTCTCTTTTAACAAACTTGATAAGCAAAAAAAAATAATTTTCCTAGGATAATGGGGTTGGGTGCAGCAACTGTCATAGGTAATTTAATGTATACCTGTAAGTAACAATAAACCATTGCTAACGAATAAACGATTCTGAACGGAGTTCAGTTGACAGTGATACTTTGTCAACAATATATATGTCATATTATGGCAAAATAATTAAATAGGTATCAGATATTTTCTTCAATAATATTTGCTTAATATTGTACCGATTTTCCAGTTTTTTTTTGTTACGTTTTCCTCGGCTTTTCGCATTTTCTGGGGAAATTCCTGGGGAAAATCGAAAAAAGACTTCCTCTAAGTCCTCTCGCCTGTCCGATTTCCATTTTAGAAAAAGTGCTACACCTAAATCGGAACAATATTTCTGGTGGAAAACTGCGCACAGATAAAAAAACAAATAATAGTAATAAACATCGCCGCGTAAAACCATAAACTTCCTAGCCCCACTCGGAATCTAAAAGGACAACAAGCGAACAAATCTTATCGGAACTATGTCGGCCTATACCGATAACGCCACGCCTCGCTCGCCGTGATCTTTATACCGGCGCCCAACAGCCCCCCTCCCCCCGGCCCGGTTGTTGTTGTTGTTATTAAATTTTCGCCGAAAATTCAAAAATGCAAATAATATTCGACGAATTTCACTTCGCGATAACCGGTGACGCCGCGCCCGCCGCCCGGGTGGGGCGCGCCCCCTCGTGCCGGCGGGAAAACGCACACGGCCGTATGGACCGATCGGCGCGACGCGGCCGGTGAGCGCCCGCGAAATCGGGGACCGCGGCGGCGGACGACAGGCGGAAAATCCGCGGCGCGTCCGTACGCGGAAAAGCGCGCGGCGGCGGCGGCGGCGGCGGCGGCGGCCGCGGGCACCGGTGCGGCACCGGCGACCGCGGCCCGGAAACGGGTGGGCGTGCGAACCGCGAACTGACCACTGACAATCCGGCTCGGGTTGAACCGCTCCGCCATGTTTTGCACGCGGCGTTGACCTCGCACAATGAAAATATCCACGCGTAAAAACATTCGCGCGTATACGCGTCGCGGCGCCCCCACCGCTCGTGCACGCGACGGCGGCGCCGTGCACATTTCAGTTTTCGCACACCGGCCCGGGCGGAGTGGGAGTAGCCTCGCGTCGGCTGCGAAAAAAAAAAACAACACAAACAGTAATAATAAAAAAAAAAAAAAATAAAATAAACCGCACCGAAAAGGGTTAACTGGCAGAAATTATTCACGAACAGCATTCAGTGCGCCCGTGGCGACCGTTTTGCGCGTTGCTCTCGTCCGAAAACCGAATAGCTGTGCTGAGTTTGCCGTCCGTTCGTTTGTGTTTATTTTTTTTGTTCTCCGTTACTTTTCGCGTACGCGGTCCGTCAAAAAGCCCGGTCCTCTGCCCGTTCGAATAACAATATTATTTTTTATTTTTTTTTTTATCCCGTTCGCCGGTGTTCCGTACCGTACCGTTGCATTTTTTTTTCTCTCTCCGTAATACGCCCGACGGTTTACAACACGAACGTTTATATTATACGGGCCGTTTTTTTCGTTTTTGCGATCCGCGGTTTGTCGGCAACGTCTGTGCTTGTTGTTATTGTTACCGCCCGAGGACCGCCGTCGGAATCGAAATTCGTAGCCGCGTCGCGACCTTTGTATTAAATATTTACGTACGACGGTAGTTTTTCGGTCGGTGACATTTCGGGAAAAAGCCTGCGCTGTCTCCGGAGAATACGGACGAGTCGATTTTCGAGCCGGAAAATTTGTCGCTACGTTACTTGTGCGGTGTTCTATTAAAATAACGTTTCGAATTTTTAACGCTAAATGTTTTTTTATTTCTATTTGCGTTTCGATAAATTAATAACGCACACCACGCGCGGCAATAATTGCCGTCCGCTCGAAAGTTCTTAAATTCAATTTCAACCGCGGCTCGATTGAAACGTACTAATGTAATAATTTCTTCTTTTTTTTTTTTCGTCGGCGTATCACCGCTTTGCTCCGAAAAAAATTGGCCGAAAATTAACTCCGATAATTTTATCGACCGAATTAAAACCATTGCGCGCAGTGCCGAGACTCGCCGAAATTACGCGTCGTTCAGCATCACAATATTGTGTATTCGTTATCGCGTTTCGGATTCTGATTGCGGCGATCCGAACGCGAGAGTGTTATTATTATGCGCACACGCTGTTCGATTCGCAATATTTCTATTTTTCCGTCGATTAATAAATTATCGCTGTTGTAATTATGTGTGTCTGTGTGTATATGTATATTTAACTTTTTTTTTTTTTTTTTTTTTTTCATCGACTTATTTTTCACTATTCATTACATACTGTTAAATTGCGCGTAATAAAAGTCAGTTTTGTTCCACCGCGACGCGTACTATCGCGGGAGTAACTGTATGGGTCGATTAAAAAATAAATACATAATAATAAAATATCGTTCGAACCGTCCGGAATAAATCAAAGCAATAAGGGTGTTTTTTTTTTTCCCCCGTCCTTTCGGCACGCCGCAAGAATACATTGTCGGAAACGCAGAGAAGAAATCCGCCCGACGTCTGGCCGTCCGTCCTCTACGCGTCCGTATGAGTTGACTACGACAGTCGGCTGTACGGTTTTTCGACTGCAATAATATAATCGCATTCGAGTGTAAAAAAAAAAAAAAAAATAACACCGGAAATGTTTATCGCTGTCGTTCGGCGCGTTTTATTCGAGGCGAGCGGCGTCCAATAATCGCGGGTCCGATCTCGGTGTTCGGTCGCCGCGATTACGTTCGTTCGGCGACTTTTAGCCGCGGCCGTGATATTTTCGAACACCCGTCCGGCTCTCGAGGCGTTTGATTCGATTCGCATATGATGTTTTGATAATTATAAATTATAAATAGGGATAATAGAAACGCGCCACCACGTCCGCGCGAATTAGTCGAGCGTTCAAAACGAAACGATACATTTACCGCACGGCATTGAACGCGATTCGGACATTATAGCGGTAGATTTAGGGCACGGAACTTATCGCGTTTAACATCCACGAAAAAAGAGCTTGAAAACGCGAAAAAACGCATGAAAAATATTAAAAAACAAAACAAAAACGGTAAATGTAGCCAGAGTTTAAATGTTCCCTACAGCTCTCTAACGGCTTTGACTTGTTAAACACAATTTTCGAACGCTACGAAAATTACTAACCCAAAGTTATATTTTTTTTTTATAACACACGTACAATTTTATTTAAACAAAATAACTTTTTGCTAATCATTTGTGTCGTGTTAGAAAATTATATTTAATAATTTAGAGTCATCGTTATAGACTGGGGACCTAACCGTTTGGTCTAATAATATTCGTCTGACGTGTCTTTTTTCGAGGCTTTTTTTTTTTTTTTTTTGAAGGTTTTAAGTGCTTTTTAGTGCAATAAATCCCGAACACTTGTAATTATTAGCGTAACGGGTAACCCGCAGCATAAAACCAGTGTATAGGTAATGTATTTACTATTAAAAATCGTTGTCCGCGCGTTGGGCGTGTTTTACACTAAACGGATAGTAAAATAATCGTTTGTTTTAATTCGAGAATAAATTTAACTTTAACTTAAAAAAAAATAATCATCACGTTGGGTTCCATTTCCGTGTGGCCACCCTCCTCGTATTATTCTGTAATAAATAAAATTCAGTTGTATCTGTCATCGTGATTTCCTATTATGCATGGATTGTTCGTTTTTCTGATAAGGAAAAAACTCAAAGTGAATAAATAAACAATTTAAACGTTATAAAAATATTTTTGTTTTTTGTGTAATCCAAAATAACCGCATGACAAATTAGTTTTTAACCAACATTTTGGCGTTGCAAGTGTTCATTAACGACGGGTTAATAACGACGGCGAGTGACATTTCAACAGTTTTCCGAAGTTCACAATAATCAATCGCAAAATTATTTTTAAAAGAAAAATCACTGGCGAATCGATCGATATAATCATCATTTAACAGCGGAAACGAGTACAATTTAAATTTCCGTAAACTCGTAAATGAACGACCCGTTCGTCAGCACCGCACGTTTGTTTAACAATCACGAGGCTCCGATAAAAATATATACAAAAAAAAAAAAAAACACCCAAACTTAAAAACACCGAACAGAACAAAAGTTAACGCCATTAGTCAGACGTCCGTCCAATACGCTCTGTACTACGCTTTATCGTACGCACGCAATCGTGCATCGTTACAGTTTTTGCGGTTTTTTTTTTTTTTTTGTTCAACGTTGTGTTATTTTTTGTAAATCTCAGCACCTCGTCCGTGATTTAAAACAGTTGTACTCGTAGCAGTGTTGCGACGCGTAAAAACGAAACCAACATCGATGTTATTACGCTAAACATAGCGCGCGGGCGATACATTTATATTAATAATAATAATTCTCTTTGAGAGCGTTAATTCTACCGATTTCTTTTATTATACAAGACAGGTGCGCGTGTACGTACCTATATCTGTATGTTGTATACAGTCGTACACTTTATACATGCGCGATATAATATTAATACGTACGCATTTTCGACACACCCAGAAACTGCTATAGTAGGTTTTTGTTTTTTTTTTTTTTTTTTTTTTTTTTTTTTATATATATATATATATATATACACACGTTCCGACACGTTTTTGTTTACCAATTACGATTATGTATTGTGTATAATATTATTTTTCACGGATAACGGCTTAACGCGCACATGCGCGCGGCACATTCGTCAAAAATACGCACCTATTATACAAACCAATATAACGATACATTCGTGCTGTTGACATTATTGTACGTACGGAATAATATGCGTAAACAGTTTGTATTCGTGACGGTGTGTCCCTGTACAGACCCGTATGTGAACCTGCAGCTTTATGGTGTCGCTTGATAAAAAAAAAAAAATAAAAATATGATAGATTATTTGCGAATTATAAACAAAAGGATCCGCCCATTCGCGCGCGCGTTTAAATTCGATAATTTTTAAAGGCGACGTTTGAATTTTCGACGAAATTTTCCGCCGTCGCCGTCGTTTGGTGTACGCGCGACGCGAACCGCCACGTGTTATCTCCGCGTACCGACTCGAAGAGATTAAAACGTTTACGATTTTATGATATCGGCGGGTCGCGCTCGCAACGAAAACTGCAAAGGGCGTTTTTCCAGGAGCCGGTCGCCTTTCGGTTTTCTCCGTGATTTAGGGGCGGCCGTGCGCTGTGCAATGTGAAAATATAATTATAAATATTAGTATTTGAGAACGCCACTGTCGTTTACTATACTAATTCAGTAAAAACCAAGAGCGGGCACGTGCCACGTGAACGCGGTGAAAGTCAATCGGACAGGTTGGTTTAGGTGGCTCAGCCAGAGCGCGTAATTGACACTACAGCCAATGATAATGCCATATCAGTAGCCACCCCCAATCGGCTCAAAAAAAATATCTAAAATACTTTCTGGAGCTTATGTCACGTTTTGGCGGAAATGAGTCGTACAAAATTTTCTGGCGGTAAAATACGGACGTATATCGACAATAGTTGTTGTGAGATAAAGGAGGACCGTCAACGTTGTTCGAAAAATTCCTATTGCAATATCAAAGTATCAAAAAGACCCGAAAATGTGTTTTATCCGTATAATTTCCCGAAATTGATTAGAACCGTGATCGGCGCTTTTCGGCCCGAACAATGCACGATACGAATTGGAAGAGCGCAAGAAATAGGCGAAACTATATTGGGATACGGCGGGAAAATTGGCGGGCGGGTACAATACGGGCAGACTAAACGCGTTGATCATGCGGATCATTTTGGGTTCGTTCCAGCCGGTGCCTCCTGCAGTCGTAACACCCGACCGGATTGTTACCTTTTGAACGGTACGAAAAACGCGGTTTACGTAATATTTCCTTTATACAAACACACCGTGGTAATATTATGTACCGTACGAGCGGTTTGTCTTTAAAGTTTTCGGCGAGGGGAGGAGAACACGACTAGGTATCGATTAAAGTCAAGCAATAATACACGTGTAGCGGCGGCGACGGTGGTGACTGCAGTTTTTGTTGTTCACCCTCTCTAATACAGTGAAATACGCGTAAACGTATTTATGCAGGTAAAGGTATATATAAAAAAAAAAAAAAAAAAGTAAGTCTATATAGGTATATACGTGTGCCATTTGTTTGGCTTCAGCAACCATCGGAAAATCACCCTAATTTTTTTTTTTTTTTTTGCTTCCATATCGATTTATATACTCGTTCCCCTAAACAATATGTCATAGATATACATTATGTTATGTATTATACGATGACGGTGGTGAACTGTGCAGTGTTTTTGTAGTTGTGTGTGTGTGTAGTATAATAGCGGTATGGCTGTGGCAGCGGTATGGTTGTTGTTTGCCATATTTTCGTGGTTATTTTTCGATAATGTGCCAACGCTGCCGGTAACTACCTTGGCGCGCGCACCTTTCACTAAAACCATTAGTTATTACGAAGCTCACGAACCCTGCGCCAGACCCCGGGGTCGTAATATTCATCCCCTCGACCACCCTATATATATATATATTAATGACAGTATCGTGGGCAGGCATTATATTGTTCTATAAGTTCCGTGCGTTGACTTTAGGGTGCGCTAAAAAACAATATACATTTTCGTATGGGTCGCGATGTAAAACTGCAGGTATAGGGCGCGTTCGTATAGGTAATTCGCATCGAACAAAAAAAAAAATAAAATAATAATAACAAAATAAAATAAAAATGAAACACGTCATAATATTATTGTAGCCAATCGAAAATAAACCCGGTACAGTAAATTAACATATTATAAATACGACTAGACATTTAATACCAATAATAGTTTTACATAATTTTTTTTTTCAATATAGATTATTTTTTAAAACCCGTATGGTATTTGTCCGCGCTAAGACTGCGAAATGATTTTCGGTTTGGGTATAATATTTCAACGGTTAAAGTCGGACAATAGTTACGTATAGGTATAAATAATAGTGTTACGTGTACAGTTGTTCCCGGTCTATCTACGGATATTCTCGCGATATACCTGTGTGTGACGAGGGTGGTGTATTTTTTTTCGGTTTTAAATCTAAAATCTCGTATGGGCTTTCATAATTTCTGTACTACTACCCGATGCAGCCATATAGTGATGGTCGCACCCCGATTATGCATCATTCCACCTATCTACCTACACTTACACATTGTTCACACGAAACATAAATCCGGATTAGGTTACACTCGGGATTATAATACGTACGAGTACATACTGCGGGTGCGTGATCTGTTGTGACGACGCCCGCGTTTATCTCTAAGATAAATAATCTGATAAAGGCACAATTGCAAGCATATATATATATAATATTAATTTTTTTTTTAGTTTCCATAGCAGAACGAGTAATCGTATATAATTATTTCGATAAAGAGTGGTGCGGAATACAATAAGTTTTAATCGGAAAAAAAAATAATTTCAACAACAATATTTGATCGTAAAACAAAATATACATTTTTTTTCTTTTCGTTCATTGCACTATTGTATTTTATCCAGATATCCAGATAGTTGTCAATGAGTTGTCTGAGTATAAATAACCGAATCATCTATACAGATGTATCTTTTTGAACCATAACTATTATATTGCTTAGAAATAAAAAGTAAACCGTTCACTGTTGGTTTGAATATGGTTTTGGTTTAATAAATAAATTATCGAGTTACATCAATCGCACGACCTTTTTAAAATCTACGTGTAGACTTGCAGACACCGAATTCGGTACACTTTCAACACTTTTAGTGGGTATATTTAGTTGTACGACGATAGAAATTGAACACAATAATCGTATTTTCCTTTTGTTTTGATAAAAAGTTGCTTGTTATTTATCATTATCTAGTTCATTATTCTAGACGTTATCTCTTATCTTTATCTGGATATTTGTATATGTATGTAAAACACTGTTCATTACGCAGGTAAGTACGTATCGGTAAACGATTCGAAGCCCGAAATTCGGAATTCACCGTCTGGCCGTAAACGGGAAACACGAATACATTATTTGTTCACATATATTTATACAGTAGTACAGACAAAATAGGAAAATATATCGCCGGTAGGTAATAATAATAATCATAAAACAATTTTGAGGAAGTCACGAGAAACAATATAATATTATGATTATTACAAGTATCTGTAGGTACTCCTTCGGAGGCGAATAAAAAAAAAACTACAGACTATTACAATCTATAGCCACACAATAATAATATACTATACGGTATTATAACCATTTAACGAAATTGGCATCGAAAATTAACACCATTTTTATCGCGGCTGATGCACAGTTATCGTTTTTTATGGTAAGTATTTACACACATATCATGTTATATACCTACTATCTACATTTCTCCCACGTATAGTGTGCGTGCAATTTTGCTCGTTCGTCCGTTAATAATAATAATAATAACATTATAAGCCACGGGTTATCAATATGGCCGCGCAATATGTTCACGTTTAATATATTGTATAGAAAAAAAAAAAAAAAAAATTTAATAATATTCTCGTTCTAATCAACTGTGTTATATACACACACAGTTAGCAACATACAAGACTGTAGTCCAGTGGCGTAACCGGGGACGGGGAGGGCGGTGGTACGGGGGTCATGACCCCCGTCCTTTGGCAATAGTTTTTTTTTTCATACGCTTTTTTAACCGTTCCATGTATAATGTGTTTATTTTGGCATATGCGGTTTATATTTTCATATTTTATTGAATATGAAATTGCCTATACATAATAGTGTATTTTTATAGTGTCACTGCTACAGTCTGATTGGACGATGGGTAATATTATGATGGTACCTACCAACAACAATAATATTCCGAAATACAAGTACATATAGAAATGAAAAATTATTATTTTTTTTTTTTACTTAAGGTTAATTTCACGTAGAGATGATGTAGTACAATATAAGTTCCATGGTCATTTTTAATCGCATTTAAATTATATAAAACGCAATATTATTGACATCAATCGCCCGGTATTCGATATATTTTCATATAATATTAATACACGCGTATGTTATTTCGCAATTAGGTGTTATACATTTTTGAGAAATCGGACAACTCTTACGATATAACAGTGTACGTATTTGAGATTTACCCTCATATTTATACAGGGTGATTCACTAAGAGTGCTCACTTTAATTTTCTGGTTAAATTTTGCATATATTCAAATTGGTGCTCCACTACTCTAAACTACTACCTAAACTTAAAAGTGAAATATCTCGTCAACGGAAATCAAAAATGTTAGCACCAAAATGCATTTAAAGTAATACTCCGTATATTTATGGAAATTTTCAATACAGGTTCCAATTTGAAAAACCAAAGTTGGTATCGCTACAGGATACTCCTTAAATGTTGTGAAAAATCTACGTATTCAAAAATATCGACTTAAACTACACTTATAAATTCAAAAAAAATCAGAATTTGAATATATAATATGCAAAATTTAACCGAATAAATGGGACGAGCGCGCTCAGTAAATGATCCTGTATACACCTCTTATTTCGGTGGTACAATTGAGAAGATAAAGTGTATACAATATGTCTGTATTACTATACAACCATGGTTACTATTGTATACTTTAAAACGTTTAAAAATAAAGGCATAATAATTGCAGAACGTCGTAAACCATGTATTTTTTGATTGACAATATGTTTACCGAATTCTCGTCAAAACGACTCTACATTTGATACATAATTTAGGGATTTAGATACACATTAGTACACAATATCCTTCGTGATTGACATCCTCAACCGGCACCTGCAAGGGCGTTTCATTACGTTTTGTTCTATCGAAAATATTATACTGTGAATAAAATAACAATTGAATACGTAAATCAATATTGCCCACGATTAAATCCCGAAAACATTTCATTTGCCCGTAAGCCTTGTGACTTTTTTTCTTTCGTACTTGAATTAAGCGACATCGGGAAAAGTTTATATTGTCGCTTATTTCGTGTATAGTATGTGCATCCGAATGCCAACGGTTCAGTTACTCGCATTAAATTGTAAATAGTATGCGATCGATAAAAAAAAAAAAAAAAAAAAAAAAATGCCCTATCGATATACTCTGAAAGGTGTGCGCGCGCATTTTTTCAGTAACTATATAATATGATATGCTTAATATACACTCCGACAATACAATTTTTACGATTTGGATTTTCTGTCGTTCTCGTCGAACAATTTTTTTCGATCTATTAACCACCATGACTGTATTTAAAATGAACGCGCATACGTGTATACTGCAATCCAACACGTTCAAAACCGATCGTCGGGTTTAATCACGTTTCGAAAGCTATAAAATATGACATAACGAGTGTGTACAAATATTGATCTGCGTAACCGACGTAAATTATTGCAGAATATTTAAATAAGCCAACATAATTACCTAAATATATATTATATATAGTAATCAAATATTATTAAGATGAATTAAATAATAATTTTATATTCTATTATATGCTATAAAAAATCAATACTGTTCACGGGTGGGCCACTGTTGTAGGTAGATAATCGGTTAGGTATAGGATATATAGCGCAATTTAGTTTATATGCTGTAAATGCAACGGTGAATAATTGCGAAAAAAAAGAACGATTCTAAGCTGAATAAGTATTAGCCGTATTTTTTGCCTCGTAATCAAGGTAACCCAAAAATCAACGGAAAATAAACCGAAGTATCAATTGTTTTCAAATAAACTGGCAGAAAATTCTGCATATATTTATAATGATACAACCCGAATGCCTCAATTCTTACTAACCAAAACACACGACATAGTCAAACTAATAGCTACAACGCTAAATCGCATAACTGAAAATATAAAAATCACAATAATTTTGTACGTATTAAATTAGTTCTTTTTTTCCGATTTTGAGCGCGAAGAAGAATTGGTTTTACTCACAGGGGTGCTGCCTTTTTTTTGTTATCAACTTTTTTTGTTTGTAAACAGGTTTTTTAATCTTGTTTCAATTATTAAATGTTCGAAAATTTTCGAAAACATTCGAAAAGAATAGGCAAGTTTGTCCGGTAAGCATGGTATGTTGAGAGGTTTGTTTTCGATTATCCAGACAGTTTTCTTAATATTTGGGTAAAAACGGGAAACGGCACTAATGATTAACATTATTTTCGATTTTATATTAATTCAGTTTAAAATAATCGTTGAGCCGTGATAACGCGATTTCACATAATACTCTTATTAGCTTTTTTTGGAAAACTTTTTTCTGACCATCTATAGGCTTTTGACATTTTCTAGTTTTTTTTTTTTTTTAGTTTTTATTTGGTTTAATACGAATAGCGTTATTTTAGTCGAATAGAATTACTTGAACACACAAGTTTAAACTTTCAATTTTAATCACCTATCGAAATAATCGCGACATTTCAAACCATGTTTAGTTGCAAAATTCGCTAAAAATCGTACTTCCTCAGCAATGATTTATCGTTGCATATAATTAAATATATAAAACTGATTTTGCCCAGTTTTGACGTCATCTCTGTACAGCGGCGTATTAAATCCCAAAGAGTTTTTTTTTTTAAAAAGTTTAAAGCACTGAAATAATCGTATAATTTATTTTTCAGTCACAACAATATTGTAAGTATAAACAATTTTCTATTTAAATTAATCAAAACACGTTTAATATATTAATAAGCTTCGTTCAGAATCGTTTTTCGTTCGTTTCATACACACGCGGTTAATAGTTATAATAATATATCAGATATTGTAATATTATAGAGTATAATATGCTACGTAAGTATAGTGAAATTAACAATTTATTTAATAATATTATAAACGGTCAAGGATTCGTGAGCTGTAATTTATCGAGTGAAATTGGATCGTATTAAAAAACGGTTAGTCGCGGGTATCAAATCGACGAACAACACATGACGTCGTCGTTCTGCAAATTATACGCACACACACACACACACATTATACCTATGTGTAGCGACATGATTATTATTTTTTTTTTTCAGATTCCGTGCGAAGCGAGAAATGAATTCGCTTGACTGTTATGATGTGGTTTCCTTTTTGCGTATTTGTACTTTTCTGCCGGAAATCTCGCTCCAATAAAAACATTTTACAAACACTTTTGGTGTATACCGTTGGTGCATTGAGGAGGCCATTCTTTTTATTTTCCTTGTTGTTTGCATACACAAGTGGTAAAGCTGTAGTAATGTTTGTAGGGTTCTCGTCGATTTACGCAATGGTTTGGCAACAAGGGAAAAATACGACCAAAACTCTATACTCTGCGCAGAATCGCTTTTCGTAAGCAATATATAGTTTATCGTAGCGCAGAAATACAAATTAAATCACTCTGCATAATATCCTGTCTTCCTGCTTCCCTCCTGAAAAAAATTGCACCACACCCATTAGCAGTATCAGCTTTTTATTATTATTATTATTATTATTTTTTTTTTTGATAAATACTCGCCATTATACATACACATGCGTATTATTATATTATGATTGGCATATTAATGCGTCGAAATAATTTCTAGGATTTTATATAGGTATATAAGACGACGATGACGGAGCTGCGGGTTATTGTTTTTTACGATATTATACTCGCCGAGATAACGAAACTGTATTTATTGTAGTATTATAGGTACTCGTAACAATATCGTTAGGTTTTATAACGTGAAAACGAGTTGAAAAATATTATTAACTGTATTATATTCCGGTTTGTTATCACACGGCGGTTAAGTATATACATATACCTTCGTATGAGTACGACCCAAAGACAAAAAAAAAACATTATTGTTGTTACTGCGCGTTGAGAGCCCATTTCGCTTGTACAATATTAGGCAGGCGGGTATATCTTTTCTTTTTTTTTTTTTTCTTTTTTTTATCGTATAACGCGTATAGAGATTAAAACCCGTGAAACACGTACTAAAAAGTGTTTTATAAACGTGCGGTGTGTGTGTGTGTGTGTGTGTGTGTGTATGTGTGTATATATACATACACAATAAGGTCCCATTAAATTCAGTCAACGAACGATTAAAAAACATTATCGTTGACTTTACGTACCTTTACACATACATGCGCATAATGTTTTTTTAAGTTATAACACAAGGTATCCGATGTAAAGTGTATATCCACGAGAATAATTCGACAGGTACATAGAATACGAATTCAATTTTGCTGTTCAGTGTTTCGATGCAGAAACAAACCTATATAATTCTGTGGCTTGGTGCAAGCGGAAATAAAAACATAAAAAGTGTACAATTTTTCATTTTCTTATTACAAATGATTTAAATGTTTGTAAAAGTTGAAAATTACACTGACGTTTACGTTTAATAAAATGCACACAGCCTTATGGGGGAATACAATTTCAAAGCCCATTTCCCAACAATCACAAAATGTGACATTGGCCCTTCTCGCAACAAGCCACAGAATTATATTTGTTTAAAAAAGCCGAGCATATACTATTATAAGGGTATAGTAGGGGAAGATTTTCGATTGAAAACCGTTTCGGAACGAACCTCGATAAACCGAAAGAATATTATATCAGGATATTATTATTATTATTATTAGTATTATTCGAGTTTTCCCCCAATATTACCCTAAACGGAAATCGACAGAAACGAAACCGATGCGTTTCGTCAGTTTTTTAAAAACAAATTTGTTAACAGCAAAACCGTCATCGAAAAACATCACAAGGATGTAGGAGTGAACTATTGAAAATTAAAAAAAACAAAATTACAATTAAAGTACTAACGAGCGGAAATGTTGCATTTTTTAATGGATGGCGTAAAAAAAAAAAACGCGAACATTTTACTCGCCGAAAATGAATTTTCCGAGAAAACAACACGTGCAGTTAATACATTAATTCCGAAAAACTCGGCGAAAAACCGACGATTCGTTTGCGTTTATGCATCCCTAGTGTGGGGTTTAAATTTCACTTCCTTTAAAAAAATAATTTTTTTTTTTACGGCTATCCATAGGTAATAACGAATTATACCGGTCTAAAATGTCGCAACACTCCTAGCCGATTCGTATTTTATATATTGAATCAATTTGCGTTAACAATTTAATTCCTACAGTTATTAATTACACATTATGTTATCTCGTCATTTTTATGGGCACGATTTTTACATAAGTCGTTCAATTGGTGATTCGGTATATACCGTACAATTTGTAATAATATACTATACCGGTTTTAACGAAATATATGATATTATAATACATAATAATATATAATAACAAAACAAACAAATGCGATTTATTTTTAACGACGCTCGAAGTGCGATTATAAAAAAATGTTAAAAAAATAATGTAAATATTTAATGGGTACATACTGCACGTAGATTACGAAGCATGTGACTGCATAGCGTGTTTTTCGAGAATCACTGTGCCCGCTTTTATGCCGAAATCGTGTAAATACAATAATATAATATTAATTTAGTACTAATCGTATGTTTTTTTTTTTTTTTTTTTTTAGCGTTTTGCCCGTTTGTCGTTTGATACATTTTCGTTTCGAACGTTTTAAAGTGTGTAACGCGTTGAACACAAATGCCACTGTTAGGGGTCGGCCCGACCTATTACTCTGGACCAATGGTTTTCGACGCAATTGATGATTGGGGTGGGGAGGGGGGGGGGAGGTTCCCCAAAATGATGAAAAATCGTTTTTTACAAAACGTTATACAATCACAGCAAGTTCAAATATCCGGTGTTTCTAACCACAGTAAATCGTTAATTTATCTTTAAACGAAAAGATAAGTTCTTGTCCACGAAAACCAAATTAAATGATAATAACCACTTTTATTTTCACCCTTGTCACCAATAGGTAACCCATAAATCTGCAAGATGATGAGTTCAATTATTTTCGTTTCGGGCGGTCACATTTTAGGAGTTGAATTTCCGGATAAAAAGTATTGACAGCAAACCTTCCTAGTATTTTGAATGTCAAGCGCATAAAATTTCATTAACGTCGGAACAAAATTGTAGATTTGTGTAAAAATATTTAAAAAGAAGTCGCCTTACAAAAAAAAAAAAAAATCTAGGGGATTATAATTATTCGTAAAAGGTTGAAAACCACTGATTTCGACTGACATGCAAATACAGTCTGTCTGCATGAGGCATTATTTTATTTTTTTGTTATCATATTCGACTCTATATAGTGACGGAGTTTTGCTGTTTTTTTTCATATCTTTTATTAAATAATTTTTTTTAACTAGTGTACAATATATAATACGCAAGCACTGCGTTAGTATTCAAAATCCAAGTATGCAGATGCCTATAACATACAGTGTGAACCATAGACGGGATAATATACTGACTATTGGGTATAATTTAAAAACTGTATGGTTTACAGGGCCTGTGCTCTAGTTGAAATCAATACTATTGTAATGTGAATTATTGTTGTCCCCGCGCCGTATTCAATATTTTGATCTGAAGTACAATTATTTTAATCGAGGCCTCGTTTTCGCTGCGGTGCGTTTTTATTCGACAATATGATGTCGACAGTTATTTAATGTATGCACGAGTGGCGAAAAAATTCGAGGAGGAAAATACGGGGCATATGCCCCCGCCCCCTCCCCCGGGTTTTTAATTCTGTCTGGAGCGTATACGAAACCGCGCGATCGACTAATAATTCGTTATTTATTTTGAAAATTACCTTCGTTACCGTCACAGCGTGTTTCAAAGGACTATTTATTGCGGCCAAGAATTCAACTATATTGGCGAGTCCCGGCGCGAAGAGTAATTTCTTCGTAATCATAAATAAATTTAACGAATTCCAAACGTCACGAACGGCCTCGCAACGGCCGGGGGCTAGTTACGTGTGTCGCGTCACCCACCAACCGCCGACCGACACTGTTTTCCTCTATGTCCCGCCAATGATTTTTCCGCGGCAAAAACCTCATTTAGCTACACAACAACGGACTGCCGAATCGCGTGCAGGACGTGGGCACGTTAATAATATAAATATGTCTATGGGTAATACGGAAAACCGTCAGGGGGCATCTCTGATTTCGTCACAGTTGGTCGGTCTCGATCAACATTCGACGTCTCCGGTGACCCCGATCCCCGCTCCTCCTCCTCCCCCCCCCCCCCCCGATCGCCGCCGTTAATTTTATTCACGGGGCGATCGCCTCAGAAATCCACTTCAGCGCGCCAGCGGACTATCGCCCGCTTTGTTCAATGCAATGTTGCAAGACAAATACGGTTCAAAGACTATTGGATGCCGTGTTAAACGCACCTATGCGACGCAATCTTATCGACGATTTCGCATTTGACGTGTTAATAACGCATACGCTTTGAAACCGTGTTGTTATAACAGTGCAGCGTGTGTCATTTTATAACATACGATGGGTACCTCGAACCTATTATTATCAGGATTATTAACACGTAAACGTCGGGCGCGTTGATGGAAATCACGAACAATTTCGACACCGCCAAATGCGTTTTGACGAAAACTTTATCTGTTTACAGAATTTTGTTGCCATGCGAAAATCAAACGCCGCCAACGGTTTCACCCCGGAAAACAACTGTGATCATTCCACGTGATTTCAGACCCGCTTGATGGATATTCCGATAGATTTTCCGAAAATCGGATTGGAAAAAAGTCAATACTCTGCGAGTAACGTTTTTTACGTAATGCCGATAGCTCTGGATAATATATTTTTGTACAATGTACAGAGATACGCGATTTCGTTACGCTGGTATAAATGCGAAACCGTTACGGTGGTTACTATGTAACTTTGTAGTTTTTATAATTTGAGTGTCAGATGGTCGTGCCGAGCCGTTCCGAGGGTATAGCATAAACAACATCGTTGTCCGGTGGACAGTTTCCGTGTACATAGAATACACACGATGTTCGTTTGGGTTGCGTTTCAATGCGAAAATGTCGAGGGAAATACTGTTTATATCCGCGTACAGTAGCCTTTTCTCAATGCGCGGCACCGTCAGAACTGCAGTATAGTATAACACGAAAACTCATACGTTTCGAGAAAAATAAATTTAAAGACTCTACTCGGTTTTGAACAGATAGGTTTCAGAAATTAATTCACGACCGGAACGCATGTATCGGGCCCGTTCGAAAGGGGAGGGGGCCCATCAGGACACCAGGCAAACTAAATCAGTTGTATGGCTATTGTTAATACGTAAAACTCAATATGTATCTAAAAAATCGGCCACTTTCAACACGAAATACTTAATACGACCTAATCACTTTTGTAGCGTTCGAAACTTGTATTTTATAAGTTTATAGCCGTTGGAGAGGGGATTTTTAAAAAAAAAAAAAAACATACTGTCATGTTTGTTGGTTTTTTTTCGAGTGCGTTTCCAATGCTTTTTCGACGTTTTTTAATCGCCTTTTTCGTGGATTTTAAGCGCGTAGGGGCCCCGGTTATAAACGCACAACTAAATCGGGGCCCGGTTATGGTACCGTCGAACGTAACGGAACTCGATGAAACACGACGGCGTGTTCGTTCCACGGTCGGCCCGGCCCAATAATAATGACAAAATGTTTTTTTTTTTTTTTTGTTTTTTCCGTTTTCAATACACGAATTAAACGTATACGCATTTAATTACAATAACAATCGACATGTTATACGCGCGTATCAGCATTGATAACGTTGCGGCTCACGTGGTGTACGCGTAACGCGATAATGTACCGTGTACAATACATCGCGGCGAAGCGGGACGGGCGACGGACGGGGTGGCGTGCCCCACCCGATGTTCGTCCGAAAGTCTATCGCGGCGATGATGCAGTTCGGTGTTCGCCCGCTACGTCGGTGTACGCACCTACGTGCGCCGGATTACAATAATTTATCGACATAACTAACCTATATCATATTGTACAACCCGAGATGTGTTCCGTCATTATATAACGTTGTACGTGCCTAGTAATACGGTATCGAAAAACGTTTTTAACCCGTACGTTTTGATAGAAAATAAAAAAAAAAAAATATTAATAACGGTAAAAAATATACGAACAAACTTTGCACGGCGGGCGGGCCGCCGCTGTGAGCGAGCGTATTCGGGAGGGTTTATAGAGGGGCACTTCTGTTTGCAGGTGTGACAATATTATCCGCAAGACAGAACCTAACGAATAAAAACAACTACTTAAAAACCTCACAAAACTAAAATGTCTACGAATTGCGTACAAATGTAAACATAATTTTTATGTCCGGATTTCAAGTCTCTACGTATATTTTCAACTGAATCAGAACGAACAAATTAAATCGAAAATAATACATTTCGTAAATTATCCCGGTAATTACGAAAACCCAGTAATAAATCGTAGAAATTTCCTTTCAGAAAAAATGCTACAATGGAAAATCGGAGCAAGATTTCCGTTGGAAAATTCGTTCACAGATAAAAAAAATATTCATCATTGTAAAACCACCTCGCACGAAACAGCTGCAGAAATAACGGATATTTACTGCGCTGTTTTTACTGCCCACCACGCATTGTCGTTTTGCTTATTTTGGATTCCTTTCACTTTTCCCGCGTTCATTTTCACTAATTCGTCGATTAATATTAAAACTGCAACTATATACGACCTTTTGCGGGCGGTTTTTTTTTTCACACGAACGCTTTGCAATACATACGTGTCGACTCTTTTTTTTATACCACATTTGCGACCGATTTCCACATCTGTAACGGGTAATCTGTAATCAAAAATGTCACCACGGATATAGCGTGCGCAGGGCGGTTCCCTGCCGGAAATCGTTTTCCAAAGTACACCAGACCACAGATCGGCGCAGAGTAATAATAACCGGAAAAGTCGCTTTCGGTTTAAACACGACGTAAACGCGTTTTCGATTTCAAAACGTGCACGGCCACCTTAAGGATGTGTTCACACACTTGTCTCTGTTAATTTGTCCACGGTTATCGGAATCGATTGAAAATCTAACCGCGTATACTTTACAAGTGGGCGACCCCCAACACTTGGTTAATGGTTCACAGGCTGACGAGAAATATCGTAACGACGTACGATTTTCACGTTTTCAAAATTTCATTAACGGCCATCCTGCGTGCCGACAACCGCACGTTTGCACAGCGATCGCCGATACCGCCCGGTATAGGTAAATTGACGTGCGCGTATTGGAACGCAACATCAACGATTACAAAATTATACCGTCAACGGATCGTGTTGCAAAAACGAGCGGCCGCAGCCGCAGCAGGGACGCTGGGCCGTGTGGGCGGCGAACTCGACTCGATCTGAACGCGGGCGCGACCGGGGGGGAGGGGGGTGGGCGGGTGCTAGGAGGTCTTTAGCAGCCCCGAGTTTGAAATCGGCACTCCGAAAGCTGGCCGATGAGTTGTGTTTCGGGCAGCAAATTTTAGCGGTCCCGAGGTTGGCTGGTCCGCTGGTCGCGCCTATGCGTCCAAAGTGACTTTTCGCCTTTCCCTCGCCCGCCCCCGCGTTCCCTACCGCTCGCGTTTTCTACCACGCGGTTACGGAACGTATAGCTGTACATTTTACAGTACGGTCGGGTTAATACCGCGCCGTTAAAATGCGTTGCGACGGCGGACGGGCGAACGAGCGTCGCCGGACCCGCAGCGGCGGCGGCGGCAGCCGGGTATCTCGTACGGCCCGTCGCGGTCGCGTTGTTCAAGGTCGTTACCGTTTTTCACACTGCGACCGTGGAAAATCTCGGCGCGCATCGATTATAATGGGGGGGAAAAAAAAAAAACTATATATATATATATGTATAAAAAAAATAATAATACGACGGCGGCGGACCTTCTCAACAGCGGTTTAATTGAACTGGAACAATAATAATAATAATAATAATAATAATAATAATAATATACGGAATAATAATAACAACGCGCCGACGTGCGCGTATTATGTGTGCGGGCGCGCGCGCGCGCGCGTGTGCGTGTACGTATATTGTGTGCGTTATAGGTGCCGGCCGACGCTATTGTGCGTTGTGATACGAACGAGATACACGCCGCACGGGAACGAGAGCGCGGCGCGCGCGCGCGCACGAACGCGCCCGCAACAAACGGCCGCCATTTATGTTGCGTACAGACAACCGAAATCATCCTCGGCGCGGCCTCGACGCGGCGGATTCGACCGTGACACTGCTCCGGGCGCGGCGTACGGCGGAGCGCGTTTTCAAGGACTTCCTGTCTGCGCGATTTGCTACGCCGCCGCCGCCGCCCGAATGAAACCGTGCGCGCGTATTCGTCGTCGTGCCCGGCGCGGCGTTCGCGTCCGAAGTTTTTCCCGACTTCCCGCCCTCACCGCCCTTCCGATGCGCGACCCCGCGGCCCCGGCGGCGTAACGATACGGGCGCGTCCAATCGTCTCTTCCCCCCCCCCACACACCTCTCGCCTCCTACGCGCGCGCGCGTCCCCCTCCCCCGCATTTTTTTCCGAATTTTTTCGTTTTTCGGCGGCACTTTTTACCATTTTTTCCCTCTGTAATTCCGACGAGCACAAACGACTCTCGACGGACTCGACGGCCCTTGCCGGGCCGTGTAACGTGCACGTCGTTGCGCGGAACACGGTCCGTGTTGTTTCCGCAGTTGACAAATATTACCTCGGCGATCGCCTCATCGACGCACAACCTCGGAAAAAAAAAAAAAATAAAAAAACATCGCGGTCGGATCGGCAACGTTCGCGGTTCCGGCGGTCCGCATTACAGACGGGCAGGCCCGAAACAACGTTTTCCGTAGCAATTAATTAGAGGCTGTTATTTACTACGAAGAAACGTTTCGTACGCGGCACGACATCGATCTACCCCCGCCCCCACGAACTAGTTAGCGCTGATCGCGCCTGTAATGGGGGCAATCCCGCCCCCCCCCTCGTTAGAAATTTTTTTTTTGTTTCGACTGTTTTGTACCCGAAATCGATTACGACTGTTGCACCGCAAACAACGCGATCCCCGTGAATTTTTTTCATTTTGATTGTTGTTCTAAATCGTATATCCTGTCCGTATACGGTCAATAGATTAAAAAACTACCGGAACGATTTTCACGCGGTTTTTCGCAAAACGTCCGGAGACCTCTTGTATAGCAAATCGAAATGCCGAATTGTTCTATCGAACGCCGTCCTCGAAAATTCGATTTTTAAGAATTTTTGTCGATTTATGTGGATAACCGTGGATGAAAAAAAAAAAAACTGTTATCAATTAACGATTGCAGTGCAATCCCTGTGCCGTGCTAGTGCGCCCGTGGTAATAGCCGGGTATAATAATAATTTGTATTTTTTTTTTTTATCTTTTTTCTTTTGGCACGGGCAACGACGGGCGAGACAGTATACTGTGTAGGACTGTGCATTTCGCTTATATCGCCCGCCTTTCTCGGTAAACAGTCAGTTTATTTTTATGTGCGAGAATGAATTTAGTTTTCACGCGGTATAGCGTACAATAATCCGCGCTGTATCATATCCGGTGAAAAATGCATCGGTTATAAATGTTAATTTTTTCTAATGTTTTAAAAATATTGCGCTTCGGCGCTATTTAAAAAAAAAAAAAAAAATACTCTTAAATCCGTTTATTAATGGGCGTTATTTGACATTTCGATTTGTCATTACGGGGATATTGAAAATGTTTTTTTCAAGCCATTTCAACGCGCGTAGGGCCCAGTCTTACTGCCGTTTCTGGCACACGCTCGGACAATTATTTATTTCGTCATCGGTTTAGTTTTAATCAAAAGTCGCAAATTCTTTGCGTAGACGACGGCGACGGTTTAGCCGGATCCCGCCGTTC